GTATTATAGGGGTGTTTTTTATGAATTTCAAACCTTCAGGGACTAAAAATTTTTTACAAATTACGGTGCAACCGACCGATCCAACCAGTCAAAGCGAAAACCGGACCCTTGAACGGGTCATTGTCCGGTCTGGTTTTCAGAACATTGGTATACACACACACACACACACACACACACACATATATATATATATATATATATATATAATTGACAAAGAAATGGATAGTCTTTTAAGACATAATCGCGGACCATTATGTTTATATAAATTATAGACCGAGTATGATGAACGACTATTTGTAGTGATGCATGGAAGGAAATATATTACATAAACAACATACAACCGCTATGAGTCACATTTAGTAGTTTGTTATGCTAAGGTGATTATGATGGGCATAAAGAAAGGTTTCATTGTTATTGCATGCTTGATGTTATATCATTAACCACTTATGTTGGTTTATCAGATGAGCCAAAGACTATTGGAAGTGGCTCATCAACTGTCCACTCATTTGAATTTAATTCAAATGTTTGCAGTTAGTAATTGTTTTAAATTGTCGGTTACATGTGCAATGATTTTTTATCAGTTACATGTGCAAATAAATTTGACTATTACATGTGGTTATTGAATAATGAATCCTAGTCATTGGAGGGATACTTGATGGACGTATCAGATTAATTGTTATTCTCTACATATAAATTGGCCCTCCCTCTACCCATGAGAGTTAACGTATTTTTCCCATCATTTTTAACGTTACATTTAAAAGGGTTAAGAAAGGAGAAATCACTTTTTATCTCAAAAGTTTATTATCATGGCTTCAGGATCAGGTACGTTTTCTCACAATAATTATTTAATTATTTTGTTTGTGAAAATCATGGAGTTCTAAGATCTATGTTTATTTGATTGTTTATGCTTACAATCTTTAAGTAATTACTAACACTGTAGCCTAAAATGGTGCATTTAGTATACTTGGATTAGAGTTTATTTCGATTGCATGGTCGAACGTAAGGATAAGAGGTGCACCTAAAAACCTTTAAAAAATAATATGTTGGTAGTTGGTACCTTGTGATAAATAACTTCAAATGGTGATTTATTGCTCAAAACATGTGTCAGTAATCTATTAATCAAAGATAGCAGTCTGAAAGGCATAGGACTAATATTTAAGAGGAACTGAGGAGTGATCTAAGAGTGCAAGACATGTTTCCACTACATGTCTACTTTTCTTTTCAACCCTCCCATTTGGTTGCGCATAAGGATAAGATATACCCGATGTGCAATTCCTTGGTTTTGGAAAAACTTTGTCAAAGCTTGAACTTTACCCCCTAATCTGTTCGAACATATTTAATCTTAGTGTCAAATTGAGTTTCAACTAAAGCTTTAAAACTTAAGGAATGTAGAATGTACCTCGTCTTTAGACTGCAGTAAATACAACCAAGAAAACCTAGAATGATCATCAACAAACAATAGAAAATACATTGAACCATCTACAAAAAGAGTCGGGGAAGGCCCCATAAATCCAAAATGGATTATTTCGAAAGACTTTATTACGTGAGACTGAGAAACAACAAATGAAAGTTTGTGACTCTGAGCACATTAACATGATGAACAAATAGACTTATGATCAAATTTAATAGACTTAACATTACACAACGACATGACTCAATTAACTTTAACTAAAATTTATCCTGTTAATTTGAAATAAGCGAAGTTTCAATAACCACTTACATAAAATTTAAAACTTACTGTACGCTATGTGAAATATAAGATTGGATCTTCAATTTGATTGGAAACTCCAAGAATTTTTTAATGTTAATGTGCTATTAGGTGTCGAGATCACTTCCATTTAAGAATCCAACTCACCATCGACAAGGAGCAATTATCAACTATATAAGAAGTGGCCATTCACATAAGAAAAAGAAAGTAAATTTTGACATCTACTTCAATCTCCTTCAATTTAACATATCTACCAATGGGCAAGTTCTCAAGCTAATTACTTGAAACAATAACCTTTTCGAAGGAATGGCAATATTTCATACTGATAATCCTATTTTCTACCATGATTTTATACTAAGTTTCATTAAGATTTATAATAATTTCCTTTCACTTTGGCTGTGAAATGCTGTAATTGGAAGTTTTGCTCTTTGCAACGCTAAACATCATTTTTTACCAAAAACGAAATAACTTGATCTATACACTTCGGAATGACTTGAATTCATATGTTTTAGAAATCTAAGAGGCAGAGCTACAACTTTCGTGTTTTGAAATTGGCTGGATTCTATTGGTATGATAGTGAAAATGTAGTGGAAAGTTCCTGGGAAGAAAAGAGAGCGAACTGAACATTTGCCGCAGCGAGCATGATTCTGTGAGTTGCTGGGATCTTTTGGGAAATGAACGACTGTCGTAGCAAGCATTTTCACCGCCACGGCGTGTGTGGATTTTAACAGAAAAAATTAATATAAAAAGAAAGAGACGACTTGAAAGAGAGAAAGCTAGGGTTCTTTGAAAAAAAAAAAAAAAAAGAGAAGAGGAGCTTGAAGGAGAGAGTTTAGCACCATTCATTTAGGATAAGTTGGCCCAAAATCCTTCAATAGATCAATCTTTCAAGAGATTAATCCCTCAAGAATCTCATTTCAATTTCAATTTTTTTTTTTTTTTTTCATTTTCATTTTCAGTTTGGAATGTTTGTTTTTTTTTTTTTTTTTTTCATTTTCATTTTCAGTTTGGAATGTTTGTAATGATGATTTCACAATTGAGTTTAATTTTGATTACGCTGATTATGGAGTAGTTTTCTTTTTTTAAGGGGTAGGTTCTACCAAACACCATGTTGACTTGATTTTCATTTTATTCAAAAACATTAGGAATTTTATTGTTCAATAATAATCTATATTATTTGCTTAATGCTTTTGGGTGTGATGTTTCTTTAAGTAAATTGAATGATGAATCAGGTGGTGAAGTTTGATTAGAAATCTTTTGATTAGGGTTTCATTGTGTTCAACTGTTTATTGATGTGATGATGAGCCAGATGGTGAAATTACTTTAGGTCATTAGAATAGCATAGATCATGAATTGAATAGGATACCCAAGAGAATCTTATAAGATTCATGTGGCCAGTTTAAGTTTTAAGCGGAAGCGAAACTTAATCGTCAAGGAATTCTATAATTGGTATGCAATTGAGGGATTTTGCCATCTCTTGATTAATAAATTTTTTTAACCAGATTTTACATTACATGTCTGTAAACATTAGTTTAGGTAGAATCAAACCCTTAACATTTGTATCACATAGTGACTTTTGTTTCTGTTAATTGATTTTTTATTTTAGTAATTCTTGTTTTAAATTTGAATTCACATCACACCTTCATTATCTCAAATAATAGTTGAGATTAATCATTTTCCTTGTTTATTTATGTTCAATCCTCACCATTTTATTATTTGTCGACTAATGCACTTGTTAGCAAATTCTTATGCTAGGGAAAATTGAGAAATGAGGTAATGAAACTCTTGGTCCTTAAAATAGGCACCCCCTAAATGTAAGTCACGCGTGGCACTGGTATTCGATTAAATAAAAAAGGCAAGTTCTTTTAGGGTTGAAATACATATACTGGTTCTTTAAACCTTTACTTCAGAGTGAGTAAATATGCATAATTTTAAGTTTAAGAGGTTTAGAGATAGTTAATTAACATTTGAAACCTCTACAGGAGATAACATACAATTCTTCAAGCTAAGGGCAGTCACGACTATCTTTTTGAATTGGTGATTCATTTGTATGGATATTGTGGAAAGTTAACTTTTAGTAAGTGCTGTAAAATCGGACTTCCTTTTTCTCAATTTATCTTGAAGAATGAGCATTTATCGAGGATTTAAGAATTGAATTATTATTATTATTCTTTTTTCGGTAAACGAGGTATCCGAGTCAGTTTGTATATACCTTAATTAATCTCTAGGGTCTATTAAACACTCTACAAACCCAAAGGACCAGATAAGACATAATATTATTGCAGTAAATAACGCCAAAGTTTGAACCTAAGAATTTAAAGAAATGAGTAAACCTCTTTAATCACCAAGACCAATCCCTTAGAGCTAGAATTGGATAATTTACATAAGAAAAAAGAAAGCAATTTAGAGCGTCAACTTTAATATCCTTCAATTTAGTAGATCCACCAAAGGATAAATTTATTCATATAAGAATTGGATTATTGTCATAAGAAAAAAATGTGAATTGTGTTATATAGTGTTTACCATACTTATCCCTAAAATAAAACGTGTAATATTAGTAACACTGAATTATATTTTTCCACCCTGACTTTGGCGAATCGAATTACATGTTGGTAGTTTCCGGAACAAGGGATGGAAGAATGTCGATTTGCCCAACATAAGGTGGAAAAACGTAATTCGGCCCATTAATAATAATTTTTTTTTTTAAAAAAAAGGAGAAAATTAACAAAGTGCAAAAATATTGGGAGAATTCCTATGCTACCCCTCACTTTTTGCTAATAAACTTATGGCCCTTTTGTGGGAAATAGTCAAAAATTACCCTTGAGCCCTAAAGCCATCCAAATCTAGTAATTTGCAACTTATTTTTTTAAAATCCTATTTTGCCCTCACTCTCATTAAGTATGACAAAAAGTTTTTCCTCCCAGGTTCACTACTTCAATCAATTTAAGTTATATGTGTGAATGATATTATAATAATTTAATTTTTTATGTTTGTATAATAAGATTAATATATACTTTGGTTAGAGTTTTGAATAAGATACTTAGAAGTGTTGGGTTTGAATCTTGGAAATAGCAAAAATAATTTCAAATATAATGAAAGTAAGGACAAAACAGTAATTTTTTGAAATTTCTAACTTGTTAGTTAATAGAATTGGATGAAAATTAGGCTTAGGGGTGGTTTTGACTATTTCCCACAAAAGTGCCATAAGTTGATTATAGCAAAAAGTAAGGGTAGTTTCAAAATTCTCCGCAAGGATCTTTTCCTAGTTAAAACCCTAAGTTATTTTGTGAGCGAGTGATAGCATTATAAAAGGCCTTAAACCCTAGCCGCCTCAGATATTTTGTGAGCGACTGATAGCATTATAAAAGGCCTTAAACCCTCGCCGCTTCCTTTTGTTTCTCAACGCTTCTCTCATAAGCTCCTTGTTTGCAGTTCTCCTTCCCAACAAGAGGTATACTCTTCTTTTCATCTAAGCCCTCTATCTTTTTTTTTTTTTTTTCATGTTAATACAAGTTTCCGCTTCACTTTTGTTTCACTTTCGAAGCTCTATCCTATTGATTTATCTTTTTTTTCTTTGGCGGGTGTCTAGGATTCTTATGTTTGTTGATTCGCTTTAGTCGTTAGTATTTTTTTGCTTGTTTTTTGGTCGTATCTGGTTATAGCGTTACTTTTAATTTCTGGTACTATTTATAGTATCAAAATAAACGGAATAACCTGAGAAATAAGTTGTATTTGTTAATAGGTTTTTGTATTTCTTTTTTCTTTTTTCTTTTTTCTTTTTTTTTTTGGTTGGGGTTTTTGGGTTTTGTTTCTTATTTTGTTCTCTATTCTCTCAATTTGTTTTACCTAGATCTGGGTTTTTGGCGACTGATTACTGATTAATCTTTGTGGTAGCATGTTTCAGAAATTTTTTAGAATCATAAAATTATAAAGAAAGTCTAATCTTGTGATTTTTGTGTGTGCTTTTAGTAATGGTTCTGTGTTTTGACTAAGATTTTTTAGCGGAGTAAGGATGGTTTTTGCAAATTTAAAAAAAAAAAAGTTTGGAAGATGGGTTAAACTCAAATTTTTCTTTTATGAAATTTGGATGGAGGGTTTGATTTAGAAATTTGAGATTTAACGTTTTATCTGTTTTTTGTGACTACTAGAGCATGCAGTTATTTTCTCACTTAAGGCTTTGTTAAAGGCTGTTTTTTAACTTTTTGTGATAAACATTACTGGCATGAAATTGATTTGATAATTGTTTGTACCGGTTGACTGGATTAACTACTTTAAAATACATTTTCGGACAAAATAACATGTTGCAGTTCGATTTCTTCAGGGAAGTTAAGATTCCAGTGGATATCTTTATTCTTTAATTTCTGAGTGTGTATAAGCTTTTTAAACCGTGGGTTTGATGATACTGGCCAGTTTTAGAATAGATCGTCTCCTTTTTCTGATTGCTGATTGTGAACTGGTTGACAGTTTTGAAGAATGATTCATACTCCAATTTAAGTATAGGATGTTGCTTTGTAATTGTGTATGTGAGTTGGATGAATTTATATGATTTGCTTTTGAGGATTATCAAAGCAGCAATATTTTAATGACTTTGCATTTTGTTTTTGCTTTTGTTTTGTGATGGTGGGGAACACAATGACATTGAATAGATAAGATGGCATTCAGTAGCAGACTTGGTATGCTTGTTAGGCAAAATGGGCAAGCTTCATTGCCATCTATGCTCAACTCTATCCGCAGCATGTCAACATCTAAGCTATTTATTGGAGGTATTTGATAGAAGTTTCTAAATATTATAGCTGATATGGATGTATTATTTATGTTTTTCTTTTGACTCTGTCAACTATGGCTTTCAGGACTTTCCTATGGGACGGATGACGTGTCACTTAAGGAAGCATTTTCTGGCTTTGGTGAAGTGGTTGAAGGTGAGTTTTAATCTGCATTAATGGTTATTTTGTATTAGCTTGATATCAAGTTGGTCTTTTCCTTTGAAGCATAAACAATCATTATAGACTTTGTTTTTAGCTTGTTTTCCTTTGTCATTTATGTCAATAATTGGCTCTAATTGAATCTTTTTTTATTGAATCTTTTGAAACTCAATTTTGTTGGAGCATCGTTGATCTGTTATTAAAATACCATGAGTTTTAATGGTGGTCATTGTTCTTTTTAAATATGAACCTAAGTGCAGTCTACTAGATGATTTGGATAATTTTAACAGCTTATGCAAAGTTATGTATGACTGTACAATGCCAATAACTTTGAATAGGGCTATTTTTTAGCTACTCTCATGTGGACCTCATATGTACTTCATCCACAATAGTCTTTGGCATGAAGCCTTGTGAGTTCAAAGGAATAAAGCTGCATATATGTAAATATATATTTTAAGTTGGAACTATGATGATTGTCAGTTGGATGTTTCAGGATTGCTTTATCATTTCTCTTTCTATTTGTTTGTGTGGGTTGTATAATATAGGGTTGTTTATTGTTGTTTCGTTGCACATTTTACTAAATGTCTGTGGCATTTGATATGGTACATGTGCTTATTCTGAGTGGTGGTTTTGGTGCACAGCAAGAGTTATAACCGACAGAGACACTGGGAGATCAAGAGGATTTGGGTTTGTTAACTTCACCAGTGATGACTCTGCCAGCTCGGCAATGTCAGCTATGGATGGCCAGGTCAGATAATAAATAATGCTTAGAGCATGTTGATCAAATCCCAAAATAAAATTATATGTTGACTTATGTTCCATGCAATTTCAGGAGCTAAATGGGAGAAACATTCGTGTTAGTTTTGCCAATGAGAGGCCTAGTGGCCCTCGATCCTTTAATAACGATTTCCGTGGTGAAGGAGGTTTTAATAGAAGCGGAGGGGATTACTAAGCTGTTTGGTCGTCTATCCTTAAGTTTAATCTTATAGGTTGCTGTTAATTTTGAATTAAGGACGCATGTTTGTTTTCACAGTTTGAAATATTTGAAGTACTGGAATTATTATGTTGCCTTTGGCACAAGTTTGTGCCAGTTATTGGTTGTTACATATCCTGGCAGGGTAAATTTTTAAATTTCTGTTGTTCATATGTTGCGAATGACATCGCATTCAACTGTTTGCTTACTGCAGGTCACGGCTGCTTGGTAAAACACTAAATAACTGCTGGTAAGAGTATTACAGTCAGTTTCATGTTGTTTGTATGGGTATAAGCTCCGAATTTATCTCTTACTTGAGGCGTTCGAGGAAATCCCATACATTCAACAATGCTGTTGCCCTTTTAAGCTTGGTTTCTTGTGCTGGTTGAGGAAACAATCTGTTTCTGGGTGGGCATTAACATAGTCTGGCCGTTCACTTTTTATCATTGTGGTCTGGGTTAGATAAATTCAACCTCTTATTGTGATCTGGATCTGATCAATTGCTGGATTGACCATTGTTTGGTCATCAGATAAGTGATTTGTGACAGGGGTGTTCGGTTCCGGGTATCGGAACTGATAGTTTCTTGAAATTTGGAACTAGAATTGGAACTGACGGTTCTGGTTCTTAGATAACTAGAACCAAAACCTATAACAATGGTTTCGGCGGTGTTGTTACAGGTTCTAGGTACCTTGTAAAATTACATAATGATCCACCAAAAGTTTGTACAATGGCAAAAAAACTCTTAAAAACTTACAAAACACTCCCTCTCTTTGACACTTGTTAAAAAAAATAAAATTATAAATTATAAATTACAAATTACAAATTTTATTACTTTGTAAAGGTAAATTTTTAAAAGTTAAACTAATTTATTTTAAATATTATAAAACATAAATATAAATATAAATGTATTCATATTACTTTTTTTTACGAAAGTTTTTATTAACTCATTAATATTTAATTTTATTTTATATTAATCTCGGTTTCGGTTTTGGTTTTTAACTATTGGAATTGTACGGTAACGGTTTCAAAACTTTGAAACTGGAATTTATCATTGACGATTGGTTTTAGGTAGGAATCAGAATTAAATCTAGGGTATCTATCGATTCAGGTTCTTTTGAACACCTTTAATTTGTGAGTGAAATAAAGTGCCATTCAGGAGGTAAGGAAGCACTTGTGAATGCATATGAAAGTGTGCATTAGGTTAGAGCACTTTTAGGTCTAGTTCTTTGGGTCATGGATGCAGCATTTGCTTTTAAAACAAGTAAAATTATAAACTGAAGGGGAGAAAGGAGCAAAACTAGTTTGCCCATACTTGAAATAATAGCAACAAGAAAACAAAAGCACTCTGCCTAAAATTTTTTATAAGGAATGTTGTCAATTGTTTTTGCAACAGTATTAAGGTGTATGTATTTGTTTATTAAATATCATTTATTTTTAGCGCAAATTAAAAACCCAAAAATTNTTGAAATTTGGAACCAGAATTGAAACTGACGGTTTTGGTTCCTAAGTAACTAGAACCAGAACCTGTAACAACGGTTTCGATTCTGAGTATCCTGTGGCAAAAAAACTCTTAAAAACTTATAAACTCACCCCTTCTTTGATTTGTGACAGGGGTGTTCGTTCTAGTATCAGAATCGACGGTTCTTTGAAATTTGAAACTAGAATTGGAATTGATGGTTCTGGTTTCTAGGTAACTAGAACCAAAACTTGTAATAATGGTTTGGTTCTGGATATCTTGTAAAAGTACAATGACCCCCCAAAAGTTTGTACAATGGTAAAAAACTCTTAAAAACTTACAAAACCCCCTTTTCTCTTGTGCACTTGTTAAATATTATGAAATATTAAGAAATTACAAATTATAAATTCAAAATTACAAGTTTCATTACTTTGTAAAGGAAGATTCTTAAAAATTAAAATTAACTTACTTTAAATATTATGAAATATAAATATAAATATAAACGTATTCATATTATTTTTTCTATAAAAGTTTTTATTAACCTTCTAATATTTAATTTTATTTTATATTAATCTCGGTTCTGATTCTGGTTCATAAGTATAGGAACCGGAATTGGAACCGCACAGTAACGGTTTCAAAAATTTTAAATTAGAACTTATCTATTGATGATTGGTTTTGGATAGGAATCGGAACTAAACTCAAGGTATTTGTTGGTTTCGATTCTTTTGAACACCCTGAATTTGTGAGTGAAATAACGTGCCATTCAGGATGTAAGGAAGCACTTGTGTATGCATATGAAAGTGTGCATTAGGTTAGAGCACTTTTAGGTCTAGTCCTTTGGGTCACGGATGCAGCATTTGCTTTTAAAGCAAGTAAAATTATAAACTGAAGGGGAGAAAGGAGCAAAACTAGTTTGCCCATACTTGAAAGAATAGCAACAAGAAAACAAAAGCACTCTGCCTAAAAGTTTTTATAAGGAACGTTGTCAATTGTTTTTGCAATAGTATTAAAGTGTATGTATTTGTTTATTAAATATCATTTATTTTTAGCGCAAATTAAAAACCCAAAAGTTTAAATGATTTTTTGGTCCTTCACTAAAACGGTAAAACCTAAGATCAACTTCTACGAAATTTTAAAAATATAAATTGAGAAATTTTATGATGTTATGGCATTTTACATCATATGAAAATTTTTATTTCCAGATAGAGTTGGGCATTTGGGACCAGGCCCAAAGGCCCAACTCTAAAACCCGGTCCTAGGACCGGTCCTTGAGAGAACCGGACCTAGGAGGCCTGGTCCCAAAACGGGACCAGACCTAAGGAGGAGGGCCCGGGCCCTCCACTGGGCCCTCCTCCAAGGCCCGGGGCCTGGGCCCAAAAAAATTTGTATTTTTTCAATGTAGTCCCTGCCAAATTACATAAAACCTCCTGTTAATTTTAAATAGATATAAATTACGAGGGCTAAAATAAAATTTTATAAAAAAAAAATCTTCCAGGTCTAAAAAATTTATAAAATTTACTCCTAAAAAATACTAAAAACCCCCTATAAAATTTCGTTTTACCCCCAAAATATAAAAAAATTGAGGGGGTAAAATAAAATTGTCTAAGGCCCATGGGATCAGTCCCGACCAGGCCTTAGGCTTGGTCTGGGTCCTGGTTTTTCTCATGGGCCTGGGACCAGTCCCAGGCCCATGAGTGACTGGTCCCATTTGGGACCAGTCCCAAACGGACCCAGGCCTAGGCCCGCAAGGGACTGATCCCTTGCCCAGCTCTATTTCCAGACATACTAGATTCTTCCCCTTTTAATCTAGACCAAAGAGGAAGTCACGTTGTACGGATTATGCGCATTTCTAGTATTATCTAATAAAGAAACAATAGATAATTTTAGAGATATATAATACTTTTAAAAATATAAGTAGAAAAGGATCAATTAACCACACAAACAAAAACAAAATTAAAATTAAAATATAAAAAAAAAATACTTAAAGTTTATTTTCCTTATAAAAAGTAATTGAATGTGTATTTTCACCTTTTTCATCTATAGTTCAATAACCACGATATATCATTATTAAAGACATAATTAATAAATTTGTGACAGTTATAAAATTTATAATTTAATCATTCCTTTGATGTTTTAGAAATTAATCTAAAATCACTCTTATGAAGTTATAATTAACATTTTTATAGTAAAAAATATATAGATAAGTCACTTTTTTATACTTGATAAAAATTAGGAATAATACCAATTTAAATAAAACTTAAAAAAAATAAGAAGGAACAGTTGTTGGCTTTCCTTGAGACCAGATCAAGGTAACGTCAGGCTGTTGCTATAGTCAAGTGTCTCTAAATTGAACAAAGTTATTATTTTAATGTCTCTAAATCGAATAAATTATAACTTTTATTTGTTTTATAGCATTCTATGAAAAAGTTGTACCTAAATTGATAATATCCCAAAAAATAAAGTTTAGTGATTCAGCTATTGAATTTACAAATTTTGGACGAATGTTAATAAAACGGTGGATTTTTTATGATATTTTGAAATGTGAGAAAATAATTGATAAAAAGAATATAATTATAACAAAATTGATAATATTATGAAAAGAGAAATATAAGAAGTGATAAAACCACATATTAAGAACATTTCTATAATATGATATTTAAATTGTAAAGAAATGTAGCAAAGTTTGCATGATGAAATTGATAAAATTAAATGGATTATAATATGTTGAAATCAGAATGTGAATCATACACAAACAACTTTTATGAGGGTAATAGTGTGAAGGATGAGTTAGTGGAATATGTATAGCATTATTATATTAAATATAAGAGCACCATTGCACTTACAACTTTTTTATATAATCTTGATATGACAGTTTGTGATTGGTCAATTTGCAATGGATCCTGTTTGCCTAAATGCGAGGTGACTAATCACGAGCTGCCGCATTAGGGTTGTATGAAAAAGTTATAAATATAGTTTTATTATTAATATAAATGGTATTACAAAATTACTATGTTTGCAACTTAATCTCACAATCTTCTTTTATAACCTTAATGTGACAGTAGAGTTGGTACTACCACGTCAACTGAAGACTTTGGTTAATCATGAACGACCATTCCTTTATAAGGAATGATTGTTTCTTATGAAGGAATAACCGTTTCTTCATAAGAAATGATCGTTCCTTCATAAGAAATGGTCGTTCCTTTATAAGAAATAGTCATTCATTATGAAGGAATAATTGTTCCTCCACAAGAAGTGGTCATTCCTTATGAAGGAACGATCGTTCGTCCTTAGGAAATGACCATTCGTGTCTAGTGAGAGTCATTTAGAGCTTTGGATGTGGCGGGGGATGATGTGACAGTTGCCAACTCAATCACCACATTGAGGTTGTAAGAGGGGTTGTGAGATTGAGTTGTGCGCCTAATATTACTTATACTATTATTTGTTACTAGTTTTTATGATTTAGGGGGCGTTTGGATCATATAATGTTTTTTTATCTTAGTAATAAGATTACTGGAAAGAAATATTACATTGTAGATTACCGGGTTTAAATTATTATTGTGCTTGGTTCAATTGAGATATATTAATAATTAATGTGTTTGGTTGACAGTAATAACATATGTCCTTAAATACCCTTTTCCTAGAATGCCCTTGGGATGATTACTTATATTACTAATTAATCTGTTTGGTTGACTGTAACAACATATGTCTTGATTACATGTTATTAAAATGCCCTTTAGATGATTACTGGGTATAAATAATTAACTTGTTTGGTTAATAAAAGAAATGATCAATTAACAAAATTCTTTTTCTTATATTTTAGCCAAGTATTTTATTGTTAAGTTATTTACTGACAAATTTATACAGACTATTGAAACTTTGAAAAAAACCTATTGTATTTTCTGTTGGGTATACATTCAACACCTAACCCTGGTATTGCAACAAATATAGGTGCCATCTCCCAATTTAAAACTTTATCTAAAACTCTGATTTTTGTATTATCACAAATTATAGTTCGTACATGTTCATTTCTACTTTAGTTCAATTGAAACCTTTTTTTTTTTAAAGGCAAAAAGAAAAATTATATTTTTTTGGTTTACACCATGGCTGGAATTTAGAAGCAAGTTTCCAAATTTGAGGAAATTTGTTAACTTTTTCCACTTATCCTGGGCAAATCTATGTGTGAAAAGTGTTAGAATTATTGGTACATTTGTCATATCACATATTTTGGAGTATCTGTGCATTTAAATTATGCTGAATCCAAACAATGTACCAATAAATTAACTACAAGCTGAATAACGATGCTCTTTAAACTTGTAAACCAATAATAACAACCACAAACTTGGTTACTTGAAAAATCTTTTGGGGCAGCTTCCACAAACTTGGTTATATAATACAGTATGAAATATCCGCAATCCATGTGGTTCAGTTGTTGAGGGACCTGGTGAGTGCATTTATCGGTCACAACAAATACATGAAATACTGAACATATCAACACTAATTACCATCAACCAACACAATATACTGTTTTATCACCTTAGGCACTAGCAAAGGTAGTTTCTCAACCAATGCTGGATGCTTGGGCATTGTTCCTGATTCATAAATATCCCTCACAAACCTGTATAATTAAGCTTGGACAATTTGAAACCCATTCCAGTATCACATCTCCAAAAATACAATTTCATGCACACATGAGCGCATTTATCTGCAATCCTGTTATATAATACAGTACGAAATATCTGCAATCCATGTGGTTCCGTTGTTAAGGGACCTGGTGAGTGCATTTATCGATCACAACAAATACATGAAATACTGAACATATCAACCACTAATTACCATCAACCAACACAATATATTGTTTTATCACCTTAGGCACTAGCAAAGGCAGTTTCTCAACCAATGCTGGATGCTTGGGCATTGTTCTTAATTCATAAATATCCCTCACAAACCTGCATAATTAAGCTTGGACAATTTGAAACCCATTCCAGTATCACATCTCCAACAATACAATTTCATCATGTGCTTGTAAATAATTGTGAAATAATCAAAGTTTACCATCGAATCAGAGGTTGCAGCGTCTTTCCGTTTTCTGATCCAAGCGAATCAAGCAGCACCATGCATCGAGTTTTAATTTCCAAGTTCACATCTCCACCAAAGTTGCACAAAATAAGTAAACTCCAATGACCCCTGTCAGCATAATTTATGCATATTATCAATGTCAACTCTTAAGCAACTGAAATCAACCCATGTCCGCGTTTGGTAAGTATAAAACAAATGCCTACAGCCATAATATGAAAAAACTCACCAGAAGACCACAGGAATGAACACATATTTCCTTGAGAATATGTTCAATTCCTCAATCCACTTTAGCACTTTCCTTTTGTTCACTTCTTCGGTGTACATAAAAAACCACATGCAGTCCAGGGTGATGAAATTGTGCAAGTTGTCTCCTTTAAAACTCCTCCACAAGTTCCTATAGATCACTAAATATGCAGTCCATCATATAAGATAAACATATTATGTAAATATGGCGTGAAGCATGTAAATTGTAATACAGTTTTGTACCCCATGTGGAGATCAAACATACTGCTGCTCAACATCCCCCCTCCCCTTCTGTTGCCAATCGCCTACTTGACCTTCGTTGATTTGTGGCACCTACATATGTTCATCATTCATTTACATTAGCAAACAATTCCATACATCTTTCATAACTGAAAGCATTAGTCGGTTTACGAGTTGCAAGGTTGGTACCTTTGCATTTGCTGCCCTTTAAGGCTGAAGGAATCTCCTGATTTTCTTTATGTACCGAATGACTGGTCCCGCCTACATGTGCACATCAATCAATTATGAGCTACGTTAATAAGCATTATTCCCAACCATACAATAAATTGACTCCATAACTATCCAATCGTAATACCTTTCACATTGTTATCTGTATAAACTGTGTGGCTCTCTTGAGATTGTTCACGAACTTTTGTGCTTTCTGTCGTCACCACTGGGCAACGTGGTGGTCCTCCCATCATTCCTGCACATCAAAAAGGGAAAGAAAACAAAAATTATAGAACTGACACTTTATAAATGCTAGTATACCTTGACCATACTTTCCTGGTGATCTAAATGTCAGTTTCTATAAGTAAGTCAAAATGTCACATTCACCATACTAAGATAACAAACATTAAAAGCACAGACATGTAAACATCCTTTTATACATCACTACCAAAGTTAAGAGTTTTTAACATTCCATATTAGTGATCTGTACCTTCCCGTACTAACTGCAAACATAGACCATTACCATCTAATTACTAGACAGACATGGTTTTCACAAAAACATAACAAAAGAGATCATCTTGTATGATGTTAGAATATAGACAAAATACAACTACGGGAATACAACCACTGTGTCAGCATACTAATAACCCTGTACACAAAAATAAAACCCATTACAAGACTTCACTAGAAATCAAATGTTGGTTGGTACTCATTACTTGCTCCAAGCTGCATCTTCACAAAATCTCTTTGCACGTGCATTGGTAACCCAAACAAGATATCTATCTTGTGAGGTTCCTTGCAAATCTCCGTGGTGGCTGTCAGTATCTCAATGACTGTGAATCCATCCAATTGAGAAATGATGGAATACACCTGCCCTTTACGGTTTTTCCCTTGTGTCTCATTCTTGAAGTAGTCAGCAATACCCTTTAGCTCAGCTTAGGTCCCAGCCAAGGCAGTCTTAAACCTGCCCAATGTGGCGTGCCAGTTTGTTGCTTTTCCAACCTCTTTTTTCCTCCTCTTACTACTTACCGCAACTCTGCTTTGACTAGCAACAGCCGCCTGACAAGTAGAATCAACCACATCATCCTTTGGCGGGGCACTCTCGACATCGAGATCTACATCGACATCTATGTCCATCTGTTCATCATTGTTGTCAACATTGTCATTATCCAAATCCTCAACAACATCAGTTGCTGTCTCTGCACCAGCTCCATTGGCCCTGTCTTTGCCGTAGATGGCGACAAAGGAATCATAGTGCATCCACGGTTTGTGTCGCAGTGCTCTTGCAAAAGGATGACTCTACAAAAAACGTTAATCATCATAAGATATGTGACATTTGTATGAATACATATAAACCTGAAGTTCAGAATTTAAAATGTACACAAATAAACAACAAAAGCATACTTACCCGGACCCATTCATCAAAGACATCCTTGGTACATGTAATACATTTCTCCTTATCATTGCACGCGAAGTCGCTACCTTTCTCAAACATCTCGTTGATTGCATTATATTGCCTCCTCAACATCTTCACCCCCAAGTCGATATGTGGTTGTGCTTTCAGACCGTAATGAGGAAGCTTTTCCTACATCATCTTTTCGACCTCAGTTAGGTAACCGCATTTGAATCCCCGCTCAATTCTCCAATGTGGTTGCTCTTTGAGCTCCAGCAGACACTCCACCAACACAACGTCCTCCTTTTTTGTCCACTGCCGCTTACTTCCCTTAGCCTTTACCTTTCTCTTTCTGCCCTTTTTCATAGGCACAAGGTTGTCATGCATGCTAATGCTCTTGTCGGACTCATGGGACCGCGATGCTGACCTTTCCATATTGTTGAAACAAAAAAAAAAAAAAAAAGGCAGATTAGTGATATTGAGAAAAAAAAATCAGGTTACAACTTCGTTTATACACAGTGTCCGAGCTACTGATATGCACGATATTCATAATTTTAAGTAAATCAACATGAATAATACATGAATGGGATCAATTAACATTCAACCATCCACATTACGACAAATGTAAGTCAATGTACAAGTCCACTAACAAAGCATCTATGTTTGGGTTCATTCATACATGGCAAATCAAAAAAGACAGAAATTTAAAAAGTCACAACACTACACATAAACTAAACACAAGCACAATCATTCATTCCACGCAGCCATCCAAGTATTGAACATTTCAGCTGCCAAATTGTCTCTAAATGCAGTCCACGCGACACTAGGCTCAACGTGCTTGATCAATTCTTCATCGTCATCCTCTTGCCCTTCATCGTTCACCTCTTCCTGAAGCTCCACTTCAACCGGGTCAATGGGCAACTCAGACCTTATGAAATTGTGCAAAAGACAACATGCAGTGATGATTCTACATTGAGTTTTGACAAGGTAGTAAGATGTGTCCTTCAATATTCCCCATCGAGCTTTCAGGATACCGAAACATCGCTCAATACAATTTCTTGCTTGAGAGTGTTTCACGTTAAAAAATTCTTGTAGTGATGCCGATTGGTGACCTTGTCGCCATTCACTCAAATGATATCGTTGTCCTCGATAAGGGGCCAAAAACCCTTCCCCATTAGTGTATCCAACATCGCCCAAATAGTATTACTCTAAAATAAACAATTTCAAGTCAATAACAATTACTAAGTGCATTATTATGACAGACCCTAACATTAAAAATACAATTTATTTTGTTATATTACCTTGGGGGACCTTTAATCCATTTCTCCTAGTAATGGCATCTCTAGGAGCTCTATCATATGCAGTGGAACCTTCCCACCTAGGGAGGACATATATAAACTACATGTCAGGTGTGCATACACCAAGGACATTAGTTGCAATTTCACTTTTCCTTGACCGGTACCTAGGTATATCGTCAGTCGGCACGTGAACCTTTATGTATGTTCCATCTAAGGCTCCCAAACAGTTCTAACACAGAACAACAAAAATATTTTAGAGAAAATACTAAGTCTGATTTTAATAAGCTACTGAACACATGTGCATCCTAAACCTAGTTATTAGACTGTACCTTGAACCATTTCCATCGCTCATCGGTTGAGTTCTCGGGAATGACCTCTGGTTTTTTAAACAGTTGGGTATGCAACCTTAACACAGCGTTCATGACTAAGTAAAAATTGTGGCTTACTGTCTCAGTGAATCTATGCATTTGACGTTTCATTACTCTGGTCTTTTGGTTATGGGCAAGGATGTGAAGAAAGGTCCCAACTAATTCTTCTACGGATGAATGATAGGTTGATTTTAAGTTGCCATGTATAGTAAGTAAATTACATTATTTGTGAAATACAGCCATATTCATCCTACAGCTCTCAAAACATAACTCATCACTTTGGAAAAGCATGGTGTGTAAATTGAACGACCTAACCTTAAACCTAGATGCAGACTCACTGACATATGATATAACAGCCATACGTCTACTCCATACATTAAGTGCATTAGCCAACCCAAGAAGGATGAACATGGTGTACATGGTTTCCAACATGTCCAAATGGAAGACTAGAAGGGCAACCAAGTGCATCTTTTGCCTGACTGTTAAACGAGCCATTGCTGTTTCACATAATTCATGGATCAAAGCATAATGAAGTCAATCAAGCATGTACAAGTCCTTAAACCCAACACAGGCAATTGTATATGGAAGAAATCAAACTTAATATCAAACCCTAAACAACATAAACACCAGAATTTAATACTCTCACCAGCAAACAAAAATTTACCTCAAACACTCATACAATTCTCAACGTCCCACACATAAAAATTTCTCATCCATCACACAAACCAACATAAACATCACAAAAATTTAACATCAATCCCTCAAAACTGTCTTCTTTAGCAATTCAATTGGTAAAATAAGTGAAATATATATACGGTAAAAATCACGATATTGTAACAGTAAGTGCCAAAATATATCTCATAGAGTAGAACAAGCATGTCTACTCAATGAAGATCATACCCATACATTTATACCGACTAAAAACATCATTTCTAATAATAATAGTAATAACTTATTCCAGTTTGGAAACATAGCCACACTCACATGCCGAATACCCATAAATTTATACCAACTAACACCATCATCTCACCATACTAAACACACCCCAACCAACACAGACCAACCTTCCCAATTTAATAATCTTCCTACAACATAAGGAGTCTTGGAACTTACCGAAAATCACGATTGCAGTGCTATTGGGTGCAAACAAATGGCGACGAAGAGGAGAGGTTGTTGCAGCGTAGATGTTGAACCAACGATAGAGGAAAAATGGAGAAGTTAGGGTTTGAAATTGCAATCCAAACAAATCACATTGCAACCATAACAGTAACAAAAAATGTAGTTCATACACACAATTTCACCAATTTCAGCCCTAACACATATAAAAAAGCACACACATAGCGAAACCTTAAATAGAAAAAACAAAGGAACCCTAACTCAAACGTAACAAATCACGACATTAAACCCTAAACCCTACTGCCATTTCAAACTACTTTATAAAAATTTCAGCATCAAATCGGTAAGGCATGACAATATTACCCTCGATTAGTCTTTTAGACCTATTGAACACTCTACAAGCTCAATATTTCAAGATAAGCTATAAATATAATAGGTAATCTCAAGGTTTAAACCCAAAAATTCAATAAATGCCCTAAACCTTCTTGACATAAAGACCAATCCTTAATTTTTAATAGGAACTAGTAACGCCAACTGTAGCATAATGTAACTTGGAAGTATTTTGGATTTTAGGCTTCATCAGACAGAAACGAAGCTTGATGGTTCATTAATAGACTGGAAAACAAATTGGATGGGCTAACAACTGGTTGAAAATTTTGGCCCACTAAAATGATGAAGCCTCTAAAAACCCAACAAAATTTGGAAACCATCATCTAATGCACAAGATCTAGGAGTTATTTTCAAATTATACTTTTGTATACATGTATGTAGTTTAATGCATCTGCCACTACTATGTTTAATATACAACTAGTAGTACTATACATCCCAAGTTTGTATTCCAAGTGATATGGCCTTATTTTTAGAAATAAATACCATTGATCACATAATAACATGATCCACAAAAACCACCAAAATAATGACAATATTTAGAATGCAAAACTAGGGTATATGATCTGCTTCAACATACAGAGCAGTAACCACACCAATAAGTGAACACGAATGGACAATTGCATAAACATCAATCAGTCTATCCAAATAAAACACTAGCTACTGGAAAAACCCCCTTACATTGACCAACCATATATCTCTGAGGAAAGAAAAATGGCCAAGAAACAATTACCTTAAAGCTCTCTATGTTAGTGGACCAACGACAGTTTTCAAAGAGTTGTTTTATCGGGAGCAAACAAAGGGCGACAAAGACCCGACGTTACTGCGGTGGAGATGGTGGACCAACGACAGAGGGAAAATGGATAACTTAGGGTTTAGGGTTGCAATCCAAATAAATCACGCAACATACAAAGGAAAGAAGGCAAACTACTTACTGGAAATAGTGATCGGACTGACGAACTAGCGAACGAGATTGACGAGAAGAAGACTCCAGTGGCGGCGAACGAGTTTTAGCACAGAGAAAGAAATCGTGCCTGTTTGTGCGATTTTGAAATTATTTTTTCTTTTATCCTGTAATTTTAGTGAAGTTCAAGGGCATATTGGTCACAATATGCAAATATCTGAGGATAATATGGGTACACCAATCTTCGTGGCATTTCTGAAATAAATGATAAAAAGCAGGGCAGTTCCGTCCAGAAAATAAAAAAACTAAGGACAAATACGTCTATTTGTGCAAATTGGCTATTTTGTAATTATTAATAAACCAAAGGATATTTTTGTCCGCATAATCCACTGTTTAGGGGCAAGATTGGACAAAAATTATGATTACTATAGTAATGTTTTAATATCAGCCCCCCTTCAGGTAATATTATTCCTGACAATTTACCCTTTTTTTAGTACTGTTTGTCATCTTATTTTTCAGTAATGTTTTTATACAAAAATTTCAAACATGGTTATCTGCTCAATTAAACAAATATTACCCATGTTAAAAAATTTCAACCCGATCCAAACGAGCCCTTATTGTGTTATAATATAGCATTAAGCAGTGGATGAGGGATATGAATAATGAACTTTGTACTAGAGAAACAAGAGTTAAGAAAAAGACGTCTAAAATCATTGTTACATTGAAGAGAGTTGTTGAGAAATCACTATAATAAGAGGATAATTTAATTAAAGTATGTTACCGAACCACATGAATTTATGGTAACTGGGATCATCCAATTATTAAGATGAACCGTTGCCCAACGGTTTCTATATTTTAGCCAAGTATTTATTGTTAAGTTATTTATTGACAAATTTACACAGACTATTGAAACTCCAAAAAAACCTATTGCATTTTATGTTGGGTATACATTCGACACCTGACCTGGTATTGCAACAAATATAGTTGCCATCTTCCAATTTAAAACTCTATCTAAAACTCTAATTTTTGTATTACCACAAATTATAGTCGTACATGTTCATTTCTTTAGTTCAATTGAAGCTTTTTTTTTTTTTTCAAGGCAAAAAGAAAAATTATATTTTTTTGGTTTACACCATGGCTGGAATTTAGAAGCAAGTTTCCAAATTTGAGGAAATTTGTTAACTTTTTCCACTTATCCTGGGGCAAACTATGTGTGAAAAGTGTGAGAATTATTGGTACATTTGTCATATCAAATATTTTGAGTACCTGTGCATTTAATTATGCTGAATCCAAGCAATGTACCATAAATTAACACAAGCTGAATAACGATGCTCTTCA